TGTTAGATGAATTTCCAAAATATAAATATATTATTCATTAATTCCATACGACATCTTCAATATTTCTTTTTTTAAATCTAAAAATTTATATAAATTTAACTCAAAAAAGTATTCACAAAATGCTCAATTTCTATCTTACTCCTAGAGTACCATGCACAAGGTATTTCAGGCTTATAAAATTCATGTTATTTTGATGTGAATTTCGTATTATTTCAATCTATATTTATGTTATTTTTAAATAAGTACTTCCTCTATCCCTTTATTTTTGCCCCATTTGACTTTGCACGATCTCTAAGACACGTATTAAAACGTTTATATCTTCATTTTCTTACGCATAAAAATTATATAAATTTGATATTAATTAAATTTACAAAGAGACGGATCAAACAAAATCTCACATGACTATATTTCATTTTGAAGAACAATGAGAACTTACGGTCAAAGTTTTCAAAGTTTGACCCATATTTTGGCAATGGGGCAAAAAATTAGGGACGGAGGGAGTACTATGTTATTTTATACATGCATATGACTATGAAGTATATATTTCTCTTAATCTACTTTGATTAGAAATTCATCGCCCTTTATCTCAGTCATTTTTCTCTCACACTCACTCTCTCTCTCTTCCTCTCAGCTACTCTAACTCAAAATCAAACATACTTTCTCTCTTCTTTTTTCTTCTTCCAATTTTCTGGGTTTTCAGAAATCAACCTCCCAAACTCACTCAGTCACTCTCTCACTTCCTCTCAGCTACTCCAACTCAAAATCAAACATACTTTCTCTCTCCTCTTTTCTTCTTTCAATTTTTTTGGGTTTCCCAAAGATCATTGGATTTAAAGCCTTTTAAGGGTTCAAATGTGTTCATGTCCAGAAATTTAGTACCTCCTGAAGTGTTCGATTCTCTTCACTGTGTCTTAAAACCCAACGCTGCTAATGTTATTTTGATGTGAGCTTCTTATTATTTCAATTTTTATATATGCTATTTTTAAATAAGTACATGTTATTTTATGTAAAATAGCACAAGCTGAGGTTGAAGTAAATAAGTAAATAACATATTATTTTAGCACAATAACACAAAATTTAAGCAAAATAACATAAAATTTAGACAAGATAACTAAAACATATTGGATATGAAGTACCATGATGCATATTAGTCTAGGAGTATAAAATACTAACTCCACAAAATGGGCTATGCAATGGCCTGTGCCCTAACCAATAAGAAGTTTTAGATAATGCATTATCTAAATTTATCCATTATTATTGTTCCATCCTTGTCCCCCCTTCTTTAGATAAAGGGAAAAAAAAAGAAAAAAAAATGTAAAGTGTTAAATCCTTTAACTCTTTTAAGTTTTTGCGATCGTCAACTTTTTTGTTAATTATTTTTTAGTATTACTACGTACATATCTATGTCGTCGATCATTAAATAATAAACGAAGTATTATGTTTATTTCCATTCCAAAAAAATAAAATAAAAAGTATTATGTTTATTTGATATATATCATTTCTAATGATTTGATTTAACAATATTATACTAAGTATTTGTTCTTTCAAACTTTACATACAGTTAAATTAAAGCTTCTAATTTTTACTACTCTGAACTTATTTGACTTAATTTTAATTGGGTATGTAGTTGTAAGTCTTGTAACTCTTATAAACCCATAATTTTTCTAAATTTATCTGATCTTATTAGGTAACCCTAGGCCTTATCTAAACTTATTTTCTTGAAATAAGCGATTGAAATAAGGTGAACAAAAATGACCTACGTAAAGATAAGATAAGATAAGTACAGTTCAAGAGTTCAAATGATTTTTTTATTTTTCATTTTTTTTTTCCACTTAATGAGCTTATCTAAACAGAACTTATCTAAACATAACTTAGCAGATTTGATTTTCACCTTATGTTTATTTACACATGATTGAACTTGATAGTCCTTAGCTTAATTAGTTATAAACTTATTTTTTTAAGGTTGGTGAAATGAACACACTATTAGTTCTAATATATAGGTTAATAAGCTAAGGGCATTCCAATTAAGTTCAATTTACAATTTTAATTAGTTTTTAATATGTTAAGCAATCCGAATATATACATGTAGATAAGTTTTGATAACTTTATAATTAAAGTCCTATTTCTCACCGAAAAAAAAATTAAAAAATTAAACGTCCTACTAAACTTTTGATGCCTAAATAATATGAAGTATATCTAGGCAAAGCAAGGGTGTCATTGGATCCTCCTATATTTAGATGTCATTTGTTTGGTAAAGAGTGCAATTCCTTCTAATTCAAGGTTACTCGTTAATTAATTCATGCGAGAATCTAAAATAAATCACATGGAAAAAGACCTCTAGAATGCATGTATGGATGCGTCATGCACTCATGCTTCATGCATGATAAATCATGCTGTAATAACAAGATTGGTTCGTTATATACTCCTACAAAAGTTTGGAAATCTACATGGAATATTGTATTTTATAACACCTTTTATTAGTTACGTTATAATGTTATCATCATAAATTCATAATGCAATTTTTATTTCCCAACTGTCCATAGAATATACTCATTAGTGGTTCCATGCATCACCGACGTGTGTTTTTGCGGGCATTATTATTTGTACTTCGATAATGAGAGATAATAATAGGTGTAAGATATGATATCATTTACTTTTTTACGTTTTGGGTTGATATGACGCGGTTTGTGTTAAGGATAACTCACATGTGAGTTGGAACAAGTTGAACTGTCTGATCTCACATTAAAGAAGAGAATGGATCTAGGACCGAAAGCTAGATAATCAACATATAACTCTAGTTTACGACTCTTATTAGTTGATCAATTTTAGAATAAAATCATGTTAGTCGACTTGTATGTGATCAAACTTTCTCATACTAATAATCTATGAGATAGTTTAAACTGAATATCATCAAAAGAGTCCAAGGCTCAGTAGGAGTTATAGTCTAAATGTTAGGACGACAGATGAATAGCAAATAAAAGAATATGACAATTTGAAAGGGTCCAATTTTGTTACGTAATATGACAAGAAGGAATACAGTATGCTTCATGACTCTATGTGTGTAAGTTCATTGTTGATCATGGAACTATTATATTACACTTAATTATACCCATGAATTTAACCTAAACTATTCTCGTCTCTCAATTTGAACTTTGAACTAGTGGATATCAAATCTTTTAAATAGTTTTTTGTGTTTTTTGGGGTGGAAAGTGGGAGGTGGCTGTCTATTATTGTTTGTTGTACTAGCATTGAAAATTTGATTTTTTTAGGTAATTATATTGACAATATATCATACACTTAAAATTAAAGCATCATCTAGCTAGTATTCTAATTAAGTGGTGCAACATTAGGACTTTGAATCTTTGATGCTACGTCATGGGTTATGGATTTTTATTTTGATTCTTTCACTGATCAAAAGTTAATCTCAACTTACCATGATTAGTTATAATACAAGTCAATACAATATTTTATTTCTCAATTATTAAACTTTAACACGTGTAATTTTTATAGCGGGAGTATTAGTTATTTACAAAAATAAGGATTAAAGTCCTAATGTTGCACCATTTAATTAATACACATATTATTTGAAAAAAAAAAAAAAATCATATTGTGAAAAGTAATAGGTCAAAATGTCAATTGAATCTTCTCAACCAATGTGTCGAGTTCACTTCAAAAGTTGAAAACGTGTGAAGAATATTCATCAGATCCATCTACCATTTTAAAACTAAATTAATATAATAAATTTGAATAGATAGGATAATGTTTTTATTTAGTCAGGTCAAGTCAGCCATTCTTTTGGAATCCTTGGCCTTTTATAAAATTGTAAAGGTTGTTTCCAAGCAATTTAGTTTTGAAGATATGATGTGGGGGAAAAGAAGAATACTTTCATTTTGGTCAAATAAAAACGTTGAACCCTTTGGCTATTGCTTGTCAAAAAGTCGATCCGAATAAAGTTTTAAGTATTTTATTAATTTTTAAAATTATTTATACGGATCTTTTAAGGGGGTGTTTGGTTCATTAAATTGGAATGGATTGATTTGTAATATTATACTAGAGAGGTATGAATTCTAAAATCCATACTAATCTAAAGTTGTTTGGTTATACTGTTGAAATAGATTCTACACTTCATTAATAGAATAGATTGTGAATCTTATGGAATTCTAGGGGTATGGGGTAGAGTTAGAACTCCTTGGGTATGATATTCCATTACTAAAAAAACTCAACCAAACAAAAAAATAGATGAAATGGATTCTAATTCCATTCTAAATAATCTAACCAAATGACCCCTAAATTTCTAATATGTTGAATTTATGAGAAACACATGTTAGTGTTTCAAATTGATAAAAAAAGATAAAGTTAAACACTTTATAAGGTAAATAAGCTACTTCTTCTTCCGTCATATGATTTTGGGATAGTTACTTGAACTTGTAAGGTAAATTCTCTCGATGATAGGTGCAGTCCAAACCTATATGTAACATAATCGCTCTAATCGCATTAGTTATCATTTGAGAAATTTTTTTGCAAACAAAAGACCAATTTTATTCACTCCGTATTTTATTACTACGTGTTTTTTGCCTGATTACACGCGGGTGATAGAATTGAGATTCATGAAATTCTTACTTCTTTATAGTTTATACCTCTTGGACTTTGTTTTTAGTTGGAGTTCGAAGTTTAGTACAAGGATTTGTATACAAACTTTTGGGTTTTAGTTTAATCTTGGGCCTGAACTATTTTAATTATGAGTTCATTTAGTCTTGGGCCCTTTCCACTCAACCCAGCCCATTTCAAACAACACCGGCCCACCCATAAAAAGTGGACATCCAAATAAATGGTACGGACTACGGAGTATGTCAAATAGTCCGAATTCCTCATAAAAAAACAAGAGTATTTGTAAAGATGAGAGTGGATAAGATTGGATCCACCAATCATCCAATCAGAAATCAAGATACTTAACTCACAACCATGAATTCCAACTTGCAAGGATAACCTCTTCTTTCTTTATTTCTCTTTCCAAATCTTTAACTTAGTAAGTATACTATACTATACTGTCACTCTTCTCATTCTTAAAACTCTTACTCAATTTTTTGTGCTTTTGGTTACAACTAGATTTTTTATTAGGGAGGCTTGTAAAAATGGCTGCAACCACATCGCCAATGGCTAGCCAATTAAAGAGTGGGTTTACCACTAGGGCTCTTGTTGCTCCTAAGGGCATTTCCGGCCCTGCTTTGCGAGCTTTCCCTTCTTCTAAGAGGAACGTTTCTTTTACCGTCAAGGCTGTTCAGTCTGAAAAGGTATTCTTATGCTCATATTAGGTTACGTGTTATATTGTTATGTGCTCCTATTGTTTATTTTGTGACACAAACACACGATGTTGGGCATTAAGTATAGTCATATGGTAATCTATAAATTGAACTACATAACGTTTGTGAATACTATTGATTGTGATTACAATGAACACGTCTAGTCATGAATTCACATCTATTAGTTATATGGATTATCAGATGAAAGATTGACGATTAGTCGTAAATAAATGATGACATTAGATTATTGTATGCGCCAAGATATGTATTACTCCATACACGGATATAAAATGCATTGATGGCAAATTTTAGCTTTCTTAGGTATAGAATAATTGGCCGTGTAACTTAATATTAGTTGATAATCATTGTAATTAGTGGAGATTTAGAATAATATCATACCAAATCTATAGTTATATTTTGGAACACATACTAAAATTGATATTGACAGTAATTTGGTACATTGACCTGACCAGAAATTCGGTGATCTAGATCTTTGATGATGTATGTTTGCTGACATGTCTGGTGGTTTTGGTGATACCAGATTACCAGAACCTAGAATTGTTGAAAGGTCAACAGTTTTATTCTGTTAATTAAATATTTTCTGAAGTGGCTGTTTTTTTTGTCTTCTTAAGTTTCTAATTTAGTCTAATTTTTCTTTTTCTTTTTTAATTAACCAGTCACATTATGCTTAAATAATTGGTTGTTTTTGATTGGCTGGTAGACGTTACATTTATTTTAGTTAATCCTGTTTGTGGCAAAATAACATTCATGTCTATATTTAGCTTCGTTATGTAAATATGTAATAGCAGATCATATACTAAGTACTTTTTAGTGAATTGGAAGGAAAAATCTAAAGTATTCGATAATCTAAAATGTTATTACTTCCTTCACTTGTATACTGTAGCTTATTATACTTTTATACGAAGTAATGCATAGTAAAAAATATTGGTGTCTAAATGCCTTTTATGCCTAAAAGGCATGCTTTAAAAGTTGTGTAAAAAGACAAATGAGACAAACAAAAAGACATAAAAAGTACTCTGTAACATCTTTAATATATTATATTCTCATAACGGTTATAAGTAGGAATAAATGATTTGAAAATCTGAAATTCTTTAAGGGTTTAATTACACTCAATAACTCAATTGATGAAATTGAGCTATTGATCACTCATAGTTTGAGCTCATTATTACTACGGAGTAGCAATCTTTTTTGTTAGCAGTTTATTTATTTTTGGATATAAACTTGTAATATGTTCAGAGAACGGTTTGCTAAATAATTTTGTCTACATCGTTGCCATTTATATCCCCCAATAAACCGATAAGTTATGAACAAAATTAACTTTGTTTATCATTTCTTTGACAGCCAACATACCAAGTAATCCAGCCTCTAAATGGAGACCCATTCATTGGTGGGCTTGAGACCCCTGTGACATCCAGCCCATTGATTGCCTGGTACCTATCCAACCTCCCAGCCTACAGGACTGCAGTCAACCCACTTCTACGTGGTGTTGAAGTGGGCTTGGCCCATGGATTTCTTTTGGTTGGCCCATTTGTTAAGGCCGGCCCATTAAGAAACACTGAGTATGCTGGTGCTGCAGGTTCCTTAGCTGCTGCAGGACTTGTAGTAATCCTAAGCATTTGCTTGACTATGTATGGCATTGCTTCCTTCAAGGAGGGAGAGCCCTCGATCGCCCCGTCTTTGACATTGACCGGGCGAAAGAAGCAGCCCGACCAGCTTCAGACCGCTGATGGGTGGGCTAAGTTCACTGGAGGGTTCTTCTTCGGTGGTGTTTCCGGTGTTACATGGGCTTACTTCCTCATGTATGTTCTAGACCTTCCTTACTACTTCAAGTGAGTGAGGAATTTGAGATCATGGGTGGTATGGTTTTGGTTGTAAGGGGCTAAACTTCTATTATTGTGAAGACGGAAAAAGATATTGTATATTCAAGGAAATACTCTGCTTTCTGTTTGCTCCTTCATTTGCTTTGTTATTGTATCTGCTTTAATTTGTATAGTTACAAGACTTACAACTAGAAGTAATCAAAATGTTGCTAATTGAAATTTACATTGACAATGAATTTCAAATCTACGCATAAATTTCCAATATCCATCCCAAATAATAGGTCACTTTGCTATTATAGTTCGTCCCAAATTAATTGAATTGAAAACTTTTTAAAATTCTGTTGATGAAAAATGTAAATTATCCCAAATCTCCCTAATGATTTTCAAACAGGAATTTCTAAAGAAAGCTACGAAGTATTTTGGAACAAAAATGTAATAGTTACTGCTAAAGGATTATTTTGGTAATACAACAAACTTTTGTAGTTTAGTTAGCTCTCGTACATTTTTTGTACAAATCAATTATTATACAATGGATCGGAAAATCACAATAAAGTGTGAGTCCTCCAACGCATGTAATACACAAGATACAACGACATGAGTACATGTGACTACCATTAAAAAAAAAAAAAAAAAAACACAAGTGAAAACTGAAAGATTTTCTACATCCTCTCTCTAGTGGTCGTATCGGTCGAGTATTTTTCTTTTCCAGCTAAGCAAGACTGCTCCCATCTTTCAGAAGTATTATAGAGGAAAAAGAGTGGGATAATGATAATTGAGTAATCTAGAAATAATAATCACATTCACATAAAATTCATTTTCTTTTCCTTCCTACGTATCACAACTTGTTCTTTACAACAAATGAGTACACTCCAGATCAAACCAATCATAACCAACCACAGTACAAATATGCAATATGATTATGGAGTTGGTGGTGCATTATAAAAACTGCCATGATTTGTACATAATCACACAAAACCTAGCACAATACAAACCACATCATATCATATAATATATGCCCACAAATAGAACCAACTTTAATTGCAAGACATATAATACAAAGTATTATATTTATAATATATGATCAAAAGCAAACATTTATATTAAATCTTCAAGACTAAGCTAATGAAGAGGAGGCACTGAAACTACTAACAAAGGTTGGACTGTCTTTTTCAGGAGCAGTTGCAAGCTTATTAAACTGCTTCAAGCTAACTGCAGATGATGCAGGGTGATCGTGAGACGATGAAGACAACAGCAGCTCGGATGTGATGAGGTTATCCCACCCTATTAGTGGGTCTGTTTTAGCTAGGTTATCCCACCCAATGTGTGTAACGTGCTTCACATCGGTTGGACACCCGATTTCCATGTTCATCTCCAACTCTGCCATTTCATCTTCATAAACTGGAAGAGAGAAAAATGGAGGAAAGTTTAAGAAAATACTGACAATAACCAAAAAAAAAAGTGCAAGGGACCATAAGTCTACATAGTACAGATTAAGATTGTACTACACCTTGTTATTTTGTAAGACATTTAGAATAACACCGATAATAATTATAAAGTCACCCTAATCTCATAATAAGTTATCAAGCATATAAGACAGACATATGCATTTTTTTTTATAAAAGGATCGGAGTGAGTATTATTTAGAGGTGTTAGGCAAGATGCAAAATAGTCTAAACTGGTTGAAATGCAAATGAAGTGATGAAGCCTTTATTTAATTTAATCTAGGTAGAATGCATTTTGTTTTTCCTATTTTGCAAACAATGTTTTCAAATACATATATTCTGTACAACATATATCTTGTAATATCAACTTAAAATTTGCAGTTAGTTCAGCAGCTAAAGACATTTTAAAGTGTAATGTAGAAAAATGTCTAGCTCAAAATCAGCCAGTATTATTACAGTGAGTTCTATGGTGAGCAAGTAGATCATCAAACCAAATAACATAGGTGCTATGTAATACGTAAAATACAAATAACATGGTAGCGATCTAAATTTTATAAACTCATCTCAGTCATCTACGAAGTATTAGCTTTTGAACGAACAGGTTTGGACAAATAGTCATTGCTAAACCAGCCTTAGATATTAGGCATGTGAATAATATTGGTTCATTATAGTACACATGCATGTATAGGAGGAGAATTTAAAATCACCGAAAGAGTTGATTATATAAGACCCTTAGTCTAAACTGTTAGACTAAGAGTTCATTATCACATAGATGCATGTACACAAGATTGAATTTTTGTTATATTGCTCTGTAAGTGTAGGAGTTTTCTTTTGTTTCAGCCTTAGACCATACACATATTACTTTCAAGGCAACTTTGATGTACCGTAGTTTGGAATGGCTTATCATAGAAAAGTAAACCAACTTAAGGAAAAACGAGGAGCCACGTGACTTACTGAATAGTTGCGACAAACTTTTGAAACCTTTCACTAGCCTGTTAACCCCAGTGGACAAGTTAGTTCTTGGAAGCGCCAAAAACCTTGAAGAATTCTTCATGCTCTCACCAGATAAGCTTTCATCGTCGTCCTCTTCTTCCTGGATTCCTAGAAGTAATTACAAACAAGAAAAATAATTCAAACACCAACTTTTAATCAAGTCCATACATAAAGATCAAGAGCATAGAAATATTATCATACTTAATGAAGGGGAATGTAAGTCTGCTTTTGATCTTCTAGGCCTTGGTTCAGCAACAGCAACACTGGCTTGCGAAGCACAACCCATGGAGAAAGGAAGAACGACGAATTTCTCCATTCGATCTCTCACTTTACCCTGGACACCCATAGCAAAGTCAACAGAGATAGACGAAAGACACAAAGAGATTGAGAGATAGATGCAAAGATGTATATATTTAGAGGAAATAAAAGTTATAGAAGAGAATTTGCGGTTGTTATAGTAGCTGCTGTTAGCTTTGCTGTCAAGAAGGTATAATTTTACATGAGAAAAAAGTCAGTACCCATGTTGGTTTGGTGGGAAAGAAAAAGGAGAAAAAAAGTTCAAAATTGAAAGGATATTGTTACTTGTTAGTATAAGATTAAACTATAAGAAGTAAAATTGACAATACCACGGTACGTCGAAAACAAATCAATGTCAAATTAGAGCTAAAAGACAGGTCTTAGCAGCAAAAAATGTATCTAAATCCTAGTATCTAACAATTGATGTCTAAGTTCTGTGGTGGGCTCCTCTATCTTTGTTCCACTAACCTCTCTTGTGAGAAAAGCCACCAAAACCCCATTACTATTTGGTTTCTCAACATTACTACTCTCTTTACTTGATTAGTACTCAATCTCCAAGAGTGGAACATAAGCGAGATTACGTATTTTTAATCCACAGCTAAAACTGATGGTGATGCTGATTTTGAGCATTTCTTTATCCCAAAGTACCTAATGATGAGGAAATTGGAATAATAGCACTAGTCAAAAAATGATACATTCCCTACTCCCACAAGAACAACTTTCAAGGCAACAACTAGAGGTGGTAAACAAGCTATTTGAATCAGGTTTTGGTTTCGGTCAAATCGGATGTAGTGGAAGTTCAAATTTGGTGAGATATTTATTAATGTAAATTCAAAAGGAAAGTGGAGCAATTAATAAAATACGGATGGATTACTGATTTTTGGCTTGGGTTGGGTTTTTCTGGTTCGGGTCAAAACAAGTTTATTTACTATAGGATATTTTAGTACGATACAGGTCAGTTTTGCAAAGTCTTGTAACTGTTGAAAACAAAAATCTTGTTTTAAAAAGTAAGCAAGTTTCGATCAAATAAGTTTTCAATGAGTAACCTTACAGCTGTTCTATGATAAATAAAATAATGAAAAGGTGTAGACACTTGATCGACTAAAATCATGTCGAAAATCCACCTTAATATGTGAACCAGCTGCAGAAGAAATAAGATAAGCAGCCAAGAACCAATGATTATCATGATAATGCAGAACAATATCATCATAATGACAATATAGGTACATCATTAATTTTAAGTAACAGAAGAACCTATAACATTGAAGCAAAGGAATGAAAGAACATAGAAGCTAGAAAAAGGTGCATTATCTTAAGCACCTAATATCAGTAAGTTCCAAATTGATGACTTGATCTTTAAGGCTCTTCTTAATAAAAGCATGAATTTCATAAACCGTGACGTACCTACAGAGAATTCAGGGGAGAGTGTTGATGAAAGATATACATAAAAGAAGTGCAGTAAAAGCCCGGTCAATTAACTTTTAGGGAAAGCACTTGAAAAACACAGTTTCAAAGAATAAAAAGGGCCACTTCAAAATAAAGCCTCAATCCTTGCAATTCAAAAGGGGAAAAAAATATCTGGTTTTAAGTTATTCGAACAGGACTGCATATAGCTGATTGTATACATAAACTAGAACAAAAATCAAATCGGAAGATCTTTTCCTAAAAGACGCATAAACATAAGGAAGAAGACTTGATGGATATAGATTTTTATTCAAGGAAGTGTAGGTTGAGAAATGTTGTTCTGATTATGAAAACTTGTCATAGTAACAAGATACTGAAACATAAAACTTTTAAGGGATTTATGAACATAATACCTTCCCAAGCCCAAACATTGCCAAGTATCTGAAAGACATGAATCGATGAAGTAAGGCGATTTACAACCATTTATAGCTGCCCACTTTTTGGTCTGAACTCTGAACGATAAAAAACAAAACACCCATAAATCCTGGTCTAGTTTGAGAGCTTGATACTCTGTACTCCATATTTTGAATGTAATGTAATTCCAGGACAATAACAGCCAATATGGTCACTCAGTATAGAGATAGATCACCATACATGCCATCAGGGTGTCATGCATGACAAATTACTTCCAGCTCACCAGTAATCTCCACAAGAGCAATGTCCATCCTTGAAATGATGAAATCTACGAATATCTCTGACAATGATTTCCCTGCCTAAAAGCTGAGAGGTATACTTCAGAAAATTATGACAATCTGTACAGACTCGAAGATTTTTCATGACCCGTATTGGTGTTACATTAGTCGTGCTAATAATACCATATACAACAGCAAGCTTCTCACTATGACAACGGAGAAACATTTCCTGCTGTTCCTCTTCTACATCTTGAGTAACCTGCTCTAAATTAGTACAATAGCCTATCTCCTTTAGCCTACCAATTAGGTTGTCCAAATAAGAATATATATCAGCTTCTTGTGGATGAGACCTATCACCCATCACAAAAGTATGAACTTGGTTGTTCAGTTGTATCCAAGATTGACCTGGGTGCTTTCTAACACCTTTCTTCAACATTGAACTCCTAACTCTAGCAGATTCTTCCCATCTGTTACTGGTAGCACACATGTTCGACAGCAAAACATAAGGTTCTGCATCCAATGGTTCGAGTTCAAGCAACTTTTCTGACACCCATTTTCCCATATCATAACTTTTGTGGAGTCGACAAGAGGATAAGAAGGCCCTCCATACCGAGCTAAGATGTGATAGATTGTTCTCATAAATGAAGTTCTTAATCTCATCCAGGTAGCCAGCACGGCCAAAGAGATCAACCATGCAAGTAAAGTGTTCAACCCCAGGCTTAATTTTGTAAACTTCTTTCATTACAGAGAAAAAATCGCGGCCTTCATCAACAAGCCCGGCATGGCTGCATGCAGTTAGAACTGCCACAAAGGTAATCTCATTTGGTTGAACGTCATCTTCCAGCATCATTTGAAATAGTCTAACGGCTTCTCTACCAAGCCCATGGAAGGCATATCCGTTTATAATAGCTGTCCACAAAATAGTGTTCCTTGTGACAGTTTGATCAAATACTGTCTGCGCATTCCCTAAACTTCCACATTTGGAATACATATCAACCAACGAAGAGCACAAAACCAAATCGAATTTGTGTCCCACCTTATGTGTGAGGCCATGAATCTGCTCACCAAATTCCAAAAACCCATAATCAGCACATACAGAGACAATAGTAGTCAGAGTATATTTATCAACTCCAATTCCTTCACGAACCATATGGCAGAACATTTCCAAAGCTTCTCCAAACCTTCCATTCTGAGCATACCCTGAAAGCATGGAGCTCCAAGATACAGTGTCCATCTTTAAATTTTCACCATTTATCTTAGAAACATGTTTATTAGAAAAACATTGAGGCATTTGCTTGAATACAACAGACGCCTTATCAATCACCCCACACTTGGAATACATATCAATTAGTGAAGTTCTTATATACTCATTATCATAAAATCTAAGCCTGATCAATCGAGCATGTAGCTGTGCCCCAAGCCCCAATATTGATAATGAAGAAACCAAAGCCAATGCTATAGCATATGTAAATTCATCCAAACAAGCTTGTTCTTTAACCATTTCATAAAGGAGTTCCAACGCCGTTCTTTCAAACCCGTTTCTCATCATTCCTGATATAATTGTATTCCAGGTTGCAGTATCTTTAGTAGATAATCTTCTAAACATATCAAGAGAACTCTCTACATTACCACTTTTCATGTTAGCACCAATCATTATATTACACGAAACGGTATCCCCACAATCTGTAGAATCAAAAAGCTTATTAGCGTAATCAAGCTCTTCAGATTTCACATAAAAATCGATAACAGAGTTCTTCAACACAGCATCCAAACCAATCCCATGTTTCAGTATCCACCCATGAATTGCCTTACCATTATAAACCAAACCTATGGATGAACAACACTTGAAAGCACTTGACAGTGTAAACCCATTTGGACAAACTCCCTCCACAAGCATTCGAAGTAAAAAATCCAATCCAACTTGAAACAACCCGATTCGAGCAAAACCCGAAATTAGAACCGTCCAAGTACGAACATTTCTCTCAGACATTTCATCGAACAGGTTCTGGGCAGAACCCAAATCTTTAAATTTCGCATATAGACTCAAAACATAGTTCCCAACATTCAAATCAACAATGGAACCACTCTTGATTACCCTCCCATGAAGGGTATGTAGTGTTCGTTCATCCTTCAAATCATCAATAAACCCCAATAATTGTGGTTGTTTTTCATGCTGTTTAGAAGAGAGGGAAGCATGGAATCGTTGAATTTGTTTCTGGGTAATCTCAATCTGGGTTGAATTAGAAGAAATTAGGGTTTTCAAAGGGTTTAAACAATTGCTCATCAAAGCGACAGAACAACAGAAGAATTTGGAACGTATAAGCGTACATTGCATTGTACAAGAATGCAGTTCAAACTTCAAAAACCTAGACTCAACCTTTCCTGAATTACTACTATACGAATTTCCTAAAGTGTTCGTAGTTATAAGACAAACGTTACTAGTTTTTGGAGAAGTGAGAAAGAAATCGGGTGCCTAAATTCAACCTCTCATGAATTACTATAGGGAGACTTGTAATTATTTGAAAACGAAATAGATTGGATAATAAGTACTAAAAAAAAATAAAAAAATCCAACATTATTAGACATGTGAATGGTATGGATTAGACCCAATCTATTTACATGTCATACATGGATTTGGTCCTTTGTAAGCCCTTCAAAACAAGCACGACCTTTCGCTGATGACTAATGACATGTAAGAGTAAGACCAATGAGTAACTTCTCATATGAGCTAGTACAAAGCATGTTTGTATCTACATAATCATGTCTTAATCCATGTGTTTGTAGATATAAATAATAATAATAATAATAAAAAAAGAGTAGTTGAAAAGAGTCAAAACCCCAATCAAATACGGAGTACGATCAATCAGAGTTAAATATCCATTAATTACATAACCATCCGAAAGCATATCACTTATGTACGTCGTACCATGCCTTTTTTTTTTTATCTCCTCTACCAAATAAAATATTATTACTCACCAAGGAAGTGGATACAAACACCAACGCAGCTAAAGATTACAAGTTAACATAACTTCACCATACAATAGAAAGTAGAAACTATATTCTTCCTGTATACTATTACTAGCATCATAACATCAGTATCACCTCTGTTAATCCTTCTATGAAAGACGACTAATAGATCGAGAGATGCTTCATATGCAATCAGCAAGTTGTACACAGTATTCATCATTACTTGGACTCAATCTAGATGATTTGTTCTTTTTTTTGTTTGGAAGTAAGTAAAATGTAGCCGATGATATAATTATTTGATGAAAACGGAAGGCAGGCATATATAGTTAGACAACATCAGTCGTAGGTCGGGTGCTCTCTTCTACTGGAACAGACTTAACTTTACGGCTTCTTTCATTCCTACAACCTTCTGCGAATTTCATGCTTACTTTATGAAGTCCTTGTTCCTGCTCATCTGCATCCCATTCCCTCATGTAGTAGTCTTCTTCTGTAACACCTGGTTTCGGACCGGCCAACATACCTCCCCATTGTGGGAAATATATCGAAGATAAGCTAAGGGTAGTAACAATGATTATAATACCCATGTATGTTATTCCATCTTCTAGTTTGAATTGTGAACCTCTAAAGAATATTACTTGACATATCACTGCACCTACGTTTCCACCTGCTCCTGATATGCCCGAAACCAAGCCCAATGATCTGAACAAAACAATAATCATACACACAAAGACTGATTAATATCCAGTGTTTTGCAACTAATAATTAACAGAGGTAGTATTATGTAAATGATATGGTTGAAAATGGAACATTTTAATAAAACGGAGAAATAAGTATTGTTAATTACCTTCTAGAGACGAAGGGAACAACCCCAAATGTGAGTCCCTCTGAAGCTTGAACAAGAAAACAAAAGATCAACATGACTGCGATGGTAGCGCCTAAAGTGTCAAGGCGTCCCATAACAATACACATTACACCACTAAGTGTCTGGACAGTCCACCACCCCCACAATCTACCCCTCATTCCATACTTTTTCGCCATGAAGTCGGAGAACAATCCACCACATGACCTAGAGAAGATATTAACCATCCCAAAAAGTGCACCAACAATGCCTGCAAGGTTAAGGTTTAGATTGAATCGGTCATAGAAGTAGGAAACAATGATGTTTGTTACGGCTAGCTCAACTCCGAAACAGAATCCGTATCCTATAGCAGTGATCCAACCCCTATAGTTGGTTACCGCGTGATATACAATCTTCCTCGCGTTGTCCTTGTGCATTTCACCGGATTTCTGGAGCTTAAGAAAGTTACCATCCGGAAGGTCTTGGCCTAATAGCATGACTGCAAATGCCGAAAACATTTGCAAAAAAGCGGGCAAGAAAAATGAAACCCTCCAGGCTGTAAAAGGCGTGTCAGCCTTGGTATTATTCAAAATAAAACTATAGAGAAGTGGCATGAGGAGGTTAGCCACCCCTCCGCCGAGGTTTCCCCACCCACCCGACTGGCCGTTAGCTATGCCAACAACTTTAGGAGAAAACATACAACTCATCCAATACTGTGTAGAAACAAAAGTGGCTAAAGAAAATCCGGTAAAAAACCGCATCACAAAAAAAGCGGCGGGTGAACTAGCCATGGAAGAGAGAAAAACAGCAGGGACAGTAAGAAAACAGACGGTAGCAGACGCGAGGCGAGGGCCGGCCAAGTCACAAGCAGCCCCTAAGGAAAGACGGGCGAAAATGGCCCCGGCAACGGAACCAACACCGGCATTGCCAATGTCACTGGCTGTAAGGTTGAGATTATCACGGATGATTGGTAGCAGGGGCGGAGCTGCGAAAGTGCATACAAAACAAGTGAAATATTGAAACCAACTCAAATGAAATGCTCTCATATGAGGCTTTTCTACAGAAAATAATGGAAATATCATTGCTTTATTTTCTGTATCTACTGGAAAACTATATTTCTTTGATGTTTCATTAATATTGTCATTATTCTCTCCAACATTATTATTAGTTATCATATTGATGATATACTTCTAACTACAAATAGATAGATCAATGTATCAATAAATTTAACACACTTTTATGTTTTTCTTACTACAAAGTTTACTTTATAGTACTACTAGTATAATTAAACTTTGTAGTACTACTAGTATAATTTCGGGACAAAGGGAGTAATTACTATTTTCTTTTTTTTTTTTTCTTTTTTTTTTCCGTGGGTAAATACAAAGTTTGCAAGTATTTGGTGAATAATAAGGTAAGGTATTTGAGCTGAAGTTGAAAGAATGTGGTTCATCTAACCTAGCTTATATAGTACTTTGCCAAATTAAAGATGCTTAATTAAATTGAAAAGGCAAATGTACGGAAACTACGGAATTAGTGTTATAAGAGCAAGTGGTTACGAATTTACGATTATCATACCGTACCATTAATTTTTTTCTTGTTGTTCTTCTAACTACTTCTCAACACGTCATTAGAAAGGAAATTAATCACATTATAGTAGTAGTATGATATGATTTGCATATATGCATGAAGGTCACAATTTGTTACAATAAAAGCATGTCACAATATTTTCACAATTTCGTTGCTACAAAGTACAAGGAATTGAACCTGTTAAAAAAAAAAAAAAAAGTACAAGGAATTGAAATGTTTGATGTTACTCCCTCTGTTTTTAAATACTTGCTTCACTTTTTATTTTCGGTCGTTTTTAAATACTTGCTCTATTTCCTTATTTGGAAAGTTTTTACAATATTTAATTCATTTCTCTCAACTAGTGGATCCAACATAAATCATATTTTATTAATTTCATACTATATCTCCTTTAATTCTCTTAACTACTTTTGCTTTTTACAATTTTTTATTCTTCCACCTAACTCATTACCTCCATATTTTATTAATTTCTTTAATTTCTCCTAAAATTCCGTGCATGAAATAATGGAGCAAGTATTTAAAAATGGAGGGAGTATTAGCATGATTCATTCTTATTACTCTGTATCAGGAAAGCTCAATAAAGTTCACGTTATGAACTTTGATAGATTTATGGTCGTTGACTTTTTGCAAATATTTTCATTATGTTTCTAATTTAATTTACCAGTAGTTGTGATGTGATCAATTAGTTGTACTATATAATTTGTTTTGTTATGTAATCATCATCTCGTCTCACACATGGTTTTGTCTCCTTTGTCATTGTTCCGTATATCTACAGTCTTAAGAGAAGACTTACTTAATACTACAGTTTATTATGAATTTAACCATGCATGCTTTGGTTAAAGAATTATAAAATGTAAAAGCTAAATTTATATAATGAAGACAAGTGAAGACGTGCATTTTATTTTCAAAGCTTGCGTTGATAATCTCTTTGCTTTAAATAATTTTTAAAAAGTTAGCTCTTCTATATATGCATTTCGATCCATCTACTACTTTGTATATTATACATAGGAGAATTATCGGAGAAGTGCATGCCCTAACATAAACCGATCGAATATTGAATAAGAAATCTGGGTACATATAAAGGTAGGTGCATCTAAGCGTGATATTTTTTTCTTCTTTTTTGATAGTTCAAACTTCAAATAACTCTTAGATGCACCCTAGCACCGCCTAGGTGTAAATAAAAATTTTCGACATTGAACAATGCACTAGTCAACAGTTTTGAGTAATTTTATTTAATATACTCTTATATTATATCAGAATAAATAGATTTTTTGTATTAATAAATACTTTACTTCTACAAATATCCTTATGATGATGTTTCTATTTGACTGTAGAAAAAGCAAGCAATTAGATACGGTGTACTTACTACGGATCGGAGTAGTTTGTTGTGATCAAAGGGCAACCAACACGCTGTTTACTTGTATTATCGTCATTATAATGACATCTTAGCTCACACAAGTTTTGTCTCGATTGTAAAATCCATATTTTGTGGAGTTAATCTAGCTAACAGTGTTACACACTACCACGTATGCCAACCCTACGCGAACTTTTTAGGGGTATATATGTACGTAGCACCAAAATACATTGTGCGGCACAAAAGTTATATTTGAAAACAATCAGAGTAATTCAATATTATAATAACTAAACATAATTAATCATCAATTCACCATATGTAAATAAGCAAGCAAATAAGAAATGAGAGTAAAACTACTTCATATGGAGTTAACTCCTTCTACACGAAAATGAAAAGAAATTTGTCAACTTATTAATCAGCACTTTTTTCAATCATTCATAAAGAGTAACTCCTAAATTTAAGCTGAGGTTTAAAAAAAGAAAAACCAAAAATTAGGATAGTCTTCTTTCAAGAGTTAAACCATACTAAATTTAAACCAAGATATGCATATCATAATGGATGGCATGCAATTGGCGTAAATTAGGGGAGAAAATAATTAATTCATTCAATTGTCAATTATTTAACATCATATGATATGAGAATTCATTAGATGACAAAAAAAATGTGCTGGATGATAAGATGATGTTCATTAAACAAATAAAAGTACGGAGTAGTACATTAACCGAACAATGGTACGGTATTATGATGTAGTTGTACATTAAACAAATTAATCCCACTGCAAGTCTACATGTGGCGTCATAATTGAAGCAGCAATTCAAACGAATAATGAGTAATTAAATAAGAAAATTCTCGTTATTAGTCGTTTAACGTGAAGTGTTTATGAAGTGCTGGCCACCAAATGCGTTTCCCGCTTTCCGCATATCCTAATTATTTTGTTTTTTTATAATTAAAAAGTACCCCATATTATTATAGTATGGTATGACTCGTATGAACAAGTATCTTACTAACTATAAGTCGAATTTAATTCTAAATGAAAAAATCAATTTGGCTTTCGACCCTTCAAAAAATAAAGAATCGAGAAATTAAAGGTTATATTATAAAAATAATTTTTACCCACCCTAATCTGATCTATGAAGTGTACTAATTTGTACTTCGTATAATCAAATGGAGTTTGAGATACTCCATACAAATACGGGACAAATATTACTTACCAATAAAACAAGTATGTAATAATTTGACTCTATTTTTTTAGTCCGGTTAATTATATTATTATTTTTAATAATATTATTACATCAGTTTAAATCGTTCCGTTCATCCCATTTTAGCTCAATAAAGTAGATAATTACGTATTGTACGAGTGTACGAAGTAATAAATATGTAGGTATAGTAGCTTCGAAAAACATCTTTGTCCACTAAACACCTCTCATAAGTAGGGGTGTTCATAAATCGGTCCGGATCTAAAAAATGGACCGGACTGACTCCGGTACCGGACCGGACCGAATTTATCGGTCCGGTCCTCGGGTCTAGAAATTTATTTTTCTGGTCTTCAGTCTGGTCCGGTCTAAAACCCTCTAAAAACTGATCTTGGACCGGACTGATTTTTTGCTTAAAATTATGTGTGAAACCTTAAATAATGGTTAAGATTAGCCTTTATAAGCTTAGAAAACTTTAATTTTATGAACTTTTTTGTACTAAACATACAAAAAAAAGACGCTAAAATATAGTTTTTCCTTTACTTTTTTCGACTTTTCCATAAAATTATTAAATTTTAGAATTTTTTTTCTAAAAAAAAGTTCTTGATAAGGTCCAAAGCAGTCCGGTCCGGGGTTTGGACCGATTCTTTCTGTCCGGTCTGGGTTCGGTCCCAACTTAGTCGATCTGGTGTTCGCTTCTTAAAATTCTAATTTTCGATCTTTGATCCGGTCCTATTCGGTTTTGGACCGATGAACAACCCTACTCATAAGTAAGTTTATTCATAAAAAAAAAGTAAGTTTGTTTTACACCTCAAGGCTCAAGCTGATTGAAATTGTGTAAGCTAAGATAACATAATTATCTCATTTGTTTCATAGAAAAATTTTATACTACTGTTGTGACAATTTATAAAAGTTTTCATCCGTTGACTAAAAATTACAAAACCACAATTATCTCCCACTAAATTGCAACTACTCTATACCGTACTACGGAGTATAAAGTAAACGTGTACAGTTTACATGGCTTTTTTAACGGCAAGTTAGTCAAATAGATCGAGTTCTTCGTATCAACAATTTGGCAAACTCACTAAATTATACTCGGATTATTCTTCTACCAAGTTACTTAAATATGATTAGATATGCGTATATGAAGGTGATGATAAGGTATCATATGCTTCCATTACTGCGCCCGTTTAATAAGTTAATTTGTTTAGATTAACTTATAAGTATGGTCATTGACTTGTACGAAAGTTTAATTTACTCAATGTTCCATTTTTTTTATAGTTTTGTTGTGATCAAACTCTTTTGTAATAAAAATACTCCGTATTTAGTGGAGTTGATTTAGCTACCACATGCTAATATTCTTTTTAGTAGCTAGCGGATGGTTAATCGAGTGTGCTCGAGCTTGAACGAGTTTTTTTTTATGATTTTTGTTCGAGTTTAGTTCGTTAGGTAACTTAGGTTAAAGAATTGCTTGATCGAGCTCGATCATCAACTTGAGCTTGCTCATTTGTACAATTGTTCTCTCTCTCTAACAAAATTTTCAATTTTGATTTTTTAATACAAAGAAAAAAAAAAACTTTGAGAGAAGGGAAAAGATCGAACGAGCATTAAACAAGTTTAGTTTAGTATTAAATGATTTACTCGTTTAAAATTTGGACTTTACCATTATACAAGCTAGTTTATTGAAGCTATTAGTGAGTTATAACTTATAAATGCATGAGATGTTCACGATTGACACTTATGAGTCAAACGCGACAGTACGGTGAGCTTATATCTCATTTGGCAAGCGAGTCAATATAAAAAATTTATTTGAGCTTGTTCAATTCGATCATTGTTTGAACAAATTTTGACCCAACTTGTTCATGTCCCGTTTGCAAGCCTATCAACTCATTTATTACATCCTTACCTTATTACTACTGCCAACAACATAAAACAATAATATAAAATTAAAAGATTAAAAATAAAGGACTACCACTTAATCATATTAGTCATATATACTCTTTGCAACTAATTAATACTCCGTACTTCTTAAGTTTTAAATGTGGTTAAGCCACAAACCGCACCATACAAAAACCATTTTTGCTATGCGATTTGGAGTTAAGGAATATTGCCATGTTGGTGAGGCCAGCCTAATTAAGGTGGTGGTTTATGGATGGATTACTTCCGGCGGGCTTAATTAATAGAGATCAAAATAAACCGGGTAATTAATAAGGAGTCCTTAACGAATCAAAAAGTCAATGGAAAGAAGGCTAGGGTATGTCAACGAAAGGACATTGCTGAGTCATAACTGATGTGGAAGGCCGCCTGAAGATCTGAAGTCGGCAGGCACCTTAGTTTAAGGAATTTCCGTTATCCTAATAAAAGATCCAGCTACGAGACTGATCGCCGCAGCGTTTATTAGGGAGGTCATTGGATTTGTACTAAACCGGCATCCATGTCGTCTACCTTACATTTTTAGTCTATTAGATTTGATTGCACGCGATGCTTGTTTCATGTTTTAAATATTAAAATACATCATCCGTTTCCTTAACACACTTTGGCTGGTAGCCGCTGATTGATATAACTGGTTGTATTAAGTCATTTGAATAGCTAGTAATATCTGCTAATTTAACTAGCTAATTGTAAATAATTGATTGTGTAAAAGTGTTTGGTAAATAATTGTTATTAATTGTTAGCTATTTTAATGTAATTCATAGCCAAAAAGCTAATTTATCAATAAGCTTTCATATTGAGCTTTTTGAGCCCATTTAGCTCTTTTAATAAACTATTTATCAAACGCCTATCCAAATTAGCTTTTTAAATTGGTCAAACATTTAATAAGAATTAATAAGCTAAAAGCTCTCTAAAAAGATCTTTACACAACGAGGCATTTAACTTTTTTAATATTTACAATGTAGAGTACATGCTAATTTTGATTATAAATTTTGAGTGAAATATGAAAAACAATTAGTACTCTGTATCATGTAAAATATTTTAAATAGATATTAATGTGAGTTTAATAATATTAACTTTTTAGTATTTTTTTAATTATTGTTTATTAGATTTATAAACGGTTAAACTTATGCATTGACATATGTGTTAGATTATAGTGTGTCAGCGGAGGATTGTGTAGTTATGTACACTTTGTTAATTAACAATGTTATGGAGTATATCTTAGATAGTTTAAGTTGATCATCACAATTATGTTCATCATCTTTTCTCCGTGTAGTAATTTATTTCTTTACTTATGTTTAATTACTTTTTTTTAACTAGGTAGAAGTTGAACCCTAGCAGTTAATGTGGATTGAATATACTTTTGTTCCCTAAAATTCTACAAAGGCATATAACTAATCTTATTTCTGGTATTATATAGAGCTGGGATAAATTGACACGACACGACAACACGACATGAACCGAATACGAAAAAAACGGGTTAGTGTCAAGGATTTTCAACATGTTTAATTAAACGGGTCGACACGACACGACACATTTAATTAAATAGGTTGGGTTAGTGTTGAGATTCTTAACACGACATTAACACGACCCAACCCGCCTAACATAAAAAAATCCAATAATTTATGAAATTATTAATAGATATATTGAATAAGGCCAATATTTTTCAATTCAACACGACAACATGACATGAATTGAACACGAAAAGTGTTAAGGGTTTTCGACACGATTAATTAATTGGGTCAACACGACACGACACATTTATTAAATGGGTCGGGTTAGTGTTGACCTTCCCCGACCCATTTAATTTCCGACACGAAAACGAACACGACACGATTATCAGGTCAAGTATCATATAAGAATAATGCCAAGTTCAAAGTTTGTGATAGTATATATAATATATATAGACTTAAAAGCATATACTTAGAGAAGCCATTGATTATTGATCAAAAAAGAAATTCTTAATTTTCATAAAGGGTGCATTTTACTATTGTATTGGTTCATGCTAGTGGAAATAATATTAGTGTTGGTGGTTTTGTTAATATAGCTCATAATTCGTCTGTTTGATTACAAATTACAACCCCCATATAATCGATAATAATGTATTTTTATTGTCGAGGAAAGAGTGGAGTATTGCTTTATGTTCTTTTATGCGTAATTTTGCATGAGAAGTATGAACAGAGACTTAAAGATGAGAACTATCAACAAAAAAATTTTATTTTTCATGAAAGACTATCTCATTCCTGTGAATCTTGAAAAGTCAAAAAAGAATGTATAAACAAGAAGCAGAATGAACATTCTAAGAAGGAAAATGCCGGAGTTCATAAATGAGCTGGTCGCACTCATCCCGGCTTCTTTCGACGACGAATTTCATGCCTAACTTATGAACGAAGGCCTTGTTTATGTTCATGCTCATTTCGTTCCCATTCTTTGAAGCCGCAGTATTAGTCTTCTTCGGTAAAATGTAGTTTAAGAATGGAATTAATTAATTCCTGCGATTGTGAGAAATGTACGGTAGTTATGCCGAGGTGCATGCTACGATCATAATCACATGACATAGGAGCATTACACAACATATGACTAGATTCCGATAAATGCACAATTACACAACATCAGTCGGTTGTGTGATTTCTACTGAAATGGATTGTACTTTAGAGCTTCTCTCATTCCTACTGCCTTCGGCGAACTTCATGCTTCTCTCATTCCTACTGCCTTCGGCGAACTTCATGCTTACTTTATGAAGCCCTTGTTGCTGCTCTTCGGAGTCCCATTCCCTCATGTAGTAGTCCTCCTCTGTAACACCCGGTTTTGGACCAGCCAACATACCACCCCATTGAGGGAAGTATATGGTTGTTAAGCTAAGGGTAGTAACAATGATTATAATACCCATGTATGTTATTCCATCTTCTAGTTTGAATTGTGAACCTCTGAAGAATATTACTTGACATATCACTGCACCCGCGTTTCCACCTGCTCCTGATATGCCCTGTACCACGCCCATTGATCTGAAAAGAATTTTACGATCAAAGTGAGATATGTGAATAATGCAAAAAGTTAATATAAATGGAACAGTTTAAAAAAAAAAAAAAAAGGGGGGAGGAAGTAAAGTACCTTCTAGAGACAAAGGGAACAACTCCGAAACAAAGGCCTTCGGCTGCTTGGACTAGGAAAGAGAAGATCATCATGACTGCAATGGAAGTACTCAACGAGTCGAGTCGTCCCATAATAATGCACATTACACCACTTAGTGTTTGGACAGTCCACCATCCCCATAATCTCCCCCTCATTCCAAACTTTTTCGCCATGAAATCGGAGAACAATCCACCAGATGACCTAGAGAAAATATTAACCATCCCAAAAAGTGCACCAACAATTCCTGCAAGGCTAAGGTTAAGATTGAACCTATCATAGTAGTAGTAAACAACAATGTTGTTCACGGCTAACTCGACTCCGAAACTAAAACCATAACCTATAGCAGTAATCCAACCCCTATAGTTGGTAACCGCATGATATACAATCTTCTTCGCGTTGTCCTTGTGCATTTCACCGGACTTTTGTAGTTGAAGAAAATTTCCATCCGGAAGGTCTTGGCCTAATAGCATGACTGCAAATGCCGCAAACATTTGCATAAAAGCGGGCACGAAAAATGCAACCCTCCAGGCTACAAATGGTGTATTAGCCATAGTATTATTAAGAATTAGATTGTAGAGAAGCGGCATGAGAAGATTAGCCACCCCTCCGCCGAGGTTTCCCCACCCGCCCGACTGGCCGTTAGCAAGGCCAACAACCTTAGGAGAAAACATACAACTCATCCAATATTGTGTAGAAACAAAAGTGGCTAAAGAAAATCCGGTGAAAAACCGCATCATGAAAAAAGTAGCGGGTGAGCTAGCCATAGAAGATAAAAAGACAGCAGGTACTGTTAGAAAACAGACGGTTGCTGAGGCGAGGCGAGGACCGGTTAAGTCACAGGCAGCACCTAAGGCAAGACGGGCAAAAATCGCCCCGGAAACTGAACCAACACCGGCATTGCCAATGTCACTTGCGGTGAGGTTAAGGTTATCACGGATGATAGGTAGCAGGGGCGGAGCTGCGAATGTGCAGATAAAACAAGTGAAATATTGAAACCAGCATAAATGAAATGCTCTCATGTGAGGCTTTTCTACAGAAAATAATGGAAATGTCATGGCTTTATTTTCTGTATCTACTGGAAAACTATATTTTTTTGATACTTCAAGTACACCAATATTTTTCTCATTTTCAGTTACCATGATGATTTACGATATGATCACTAATATCACCTTAATAAAAACAACAATCGAAACCTTAATCTTATAGATGGGAAACGTACACCTTAATATTACAATGTACGAGTATTTCAATTGGCTAGGTTTTTTTTTTTTCTTTTTTTCGCGGTAGAAGGAAAGGAGGTAAGTGAGCTTAAGATGAAATATAAGGTTCATCCAACAAAGCTATATATAGTACTTTGGTAGTTCATGAATTAAGATGTTTTTTTAAGTTGAAAATGAGTACGGAAACTACGGAATTAGTAAATAGTAATATATGTGCAAGTGGTTATAAGTTTAGTTATCTTAATTAGTTCATTTCTGACAGCTTATCAATTTATCATGTGGAGGAATACTATGAATGTGATATGATATGTATAGTTGCATATCACAATGTATTATTAATCACAATATAATGCATGATATATTTGGGTTGTTAGAGGTGAGAATTATTTAATCAATAATTTAATCATACTACAAATATAACGAAACTTCATCAAATTAGAGGACAAATGTTGTGATTAATGTCATACTTGATAGCAAAAGGATCTTAAGTCAAAGATTGAATAAAATAGAACTGTGAAATTCAGCAAGTGGCGCAATTAGTGAAGCATGCAACTAATTAAAGCAACAACCTTGCTTAAATAAAATTAAAAAGCAATTAATTAATAAGAAAGTAAAGATGAAGTGCGGTTATAAAAATGAAAAACTCATGTGAAAACGTTTATGAAGCCGAAACGCTGGCTTGAAATGCGTTGCCCTACATTTGTTCAAAATAAATAAATAAAAAAAAAAAAAAAAAAAAAAAAAGCATTTCCCTACACCTAATTGTACTATACGATTATTTTTTTTACACTTTATTTTTTAAAATATGGTTAGGAAAAGCACCTTATTAAATGAGCCAACAAAATACTCTATACTTCATAATTTATAGTATCTCCTTGATGTATCTACCTCTATATACACCTTGATGCATGTAAGAATCTATCACCCTATACTTCACAAAATCACATCACACAACTGACACAAGTAGTAATGTAAGGGGGTAAAGATTAGGTTAATTAAGATAAGGACCTTAGTTAAATAGAAATTGGCCTGGTATCCTATTTTTTTTTTTTGGCGTTGTTATAACAAAGTGTGAAGCAATTGTTACGTGGGTATAATAACACGATTATTTTATTATTAATTCACAATTTTAATCAACTTTTCACTACTAATATTTTATCTTAACTTCATAACTTTTAAATTTTTTTATTTAAATAAAAAATTTGAGATGTCTTTGTTCCCTCTAGGATTTCTCCTTGGGAGGATTTTTTTTTTTTTTTGTTCCCTCTAGGGTTTCTCCCTTGGGGGATTTTCCTAGCCTCCATTGCTGGGTTTTTTAAATTTTCTTTGAAAGTTTTTCTTCTCTCTTCTCCTTTTTCTCTCCATCTCTACCATCACTTTTCCTTTTGGTATCAGTTGTGAATTTTTGTAGGGACCGGGCTTCCACTGGTGTTCTTACCAGTGGTAAGCCCTAAAAACCTTTAAATTGCTTTTTATAAATAGATCTCATTCTTGAGATGATGATTTTTCTATTGAGTTTATTTTCTTTTAATGTTTGTATGGCGAGAATTAAAGATATAGGATTTCATAATCTTTACAAGAATCCGGAGGACCACATGGGTATTTTCACTCAAACGACTATGCATCAGTGGATTTCAAGCTGAATCAGTGCGAACTCGCATATTGTATTGTTTCGGATGAAGTTTTTTATTAAGGCGATTGTTTATCAAATCTACAATGTATTAAGTTTTAAGGTGTTATGTGCTTATGTTGGAATTCTTGATTTCTTAAGAATTATATGTAAGTGTCGTTTGGCTATATTTTGTAAATAAAATCCCTTTTCTTCTTGAAAAAAAAATGAGATGCAAAAGATAGAGATTGTAACGAGCTACCTCATGACATTAATTTGTTCTCTTCAACTCAAGTTAGTTTAGAAAGTTTTTTTTAGAGAGTATACATAGAATTTTCTCCTCAGTTTAAGGTTCAACTGATCAACCAAAAGCTTAAGCAATTAAGCTTATGGTTGAAATCCAGGATTGGTTTATATACTCTATCAATTTTTAACTATTTTTGTTAAAATTAAATTAGTGATCAACTAATCTACTTGTAGTTTATATACTCTATCAATATTTAATTATTTTTGTTAAAATTAAATTAGTGATCAACTAATCTACTTGTATAGTTGTTGTAGAGTGCTAGTAGTCCTTTATATTAAAAACATGGATGTGTTTTAATTGCATATTGAATTAGAAATCATCGATCATTCAATCACTTACAAATTAAAGTGCCCTTGTGTTATTGATGAATCCAACAACGAACCTTGAAATTGCAATATGCAAATCTGATCTTTGCTAAGCCACTACAAATATTTTTTATATACACCCGTGTTGAAGAATAGACCTCCTTACTATCACCACATTGGTTGAAGAAGAGAGAGTTAATCACTTTATAAGGCTAATTAAGGGGCTACTCCTCCTATTGCCACATGGTCTTGGGATGGAACCTACTTTGTACTTGTGAAGTGGACTCTCTCTCTTGGTTTGCGGGTGCGGCCTAGACCCGTATTTAACATGGTATCAGAGTCAGACCCACGATATGGGACCCTAAATGGCTAAAATTCACTGGACCAAGAGTAGGTCCACGTGAGAAGGAGTGAAGAAGCACTCTAGCCCGAAAAATCACATGAGACAAACTTCAAAAGGGACCTTACATGTGAGGTGGAGTGTTGAAGAATAAACCTCACAAGTATCACCACATGTAAGTGTCCCACATTGGTTGAAGAAGAGAGGGTTAACTCACTTTATAAGGCTAAGGGGCTACTCTTCCTATTGTCATATGGTTTTAGGATGGAACCTCCTTTGGATTCACCTGTATTTAACAACCCGGGAGCACTGTTCACTCAACTAACCTTTGCTCTTCATTTGATGATTAAATGAAAAACAATCATCAAAATGAGGGTGCACCCGAGTGTATATAACAATAACTCCAAGACATAATTATAATCTCTACACATTACAGTAATCTACAATCAAGTTGGTAGAGATAATAAGGATACGTGTCATCGATGTTAGCGAGATTCTTTCTTATCGATCGAGAAGTTGAGCACAATAAACTTTCATGGACAATAATTACGCAGAATATAAATACCCAACAATGCAACTTGCTAAGGTTTTAGGCCAGGTTATCATGCTTTGATTCCTCCGTATTATTACGTTTATTATTTGATAAATTTTTGGTCTTTGACTTCTAAAAATATATTCCCAATTTTTTCAATTTGATAAATCAGAAGCTTCGCGATGTACTTAGTTGTTGAATAGTTGATCAGTCTTTTGTAATGTTGTCATTGTATTTTTCATCGATTGTATGCTATGTCCAATTTTTAAAACTCCGTAATCTATGGAGTTGACCTTGCTTTACGTAACTAACAAAAAATTATACAAATACTATCAAAGTAATAAAGATATTACAATGCGTTTGTAGATCTTAGTTTCAAAAATATAGTTAAAAAAAAGTGTCTTCGATTAATCTTGGATTGGAATTTGGTCATTAGTTTGTCTCGCTAGATAAATTAGTATATATATTTTTCACCCCAAAGGGAACCAGATTAGGGTTTACAACCTTCAGCTTGTGACTTGTGGTTTTAATAGAGGCCAATTTAAATACCAAGATCAGATGCAGTGAACACTAGAATGAAAAAAATTGCCTCTTCATAGTCAATTATAGTGCACGGGTAAAGTTAAATTAAGGAAGGTGTCTTGCTTGAATGTTGAATAATGTTATATCAACATCAGGACCAATAACATTAATCGACATACACTGTTGTATAAGCTCCTTATCGGACCATAACCTAAGCTTACTGGTAATTATCAGTCTTTTTAACCACATACGGGTACCATAACATTTATCCAATTGACAAGCATCACATTCACCCCTAGGTGACATGCATAATTGATTAATTATTGCATATATTAACCGTGCAAGTTTTAGTTTAGATAGATCAAAAACGTATGACAGTCCTAAATACTAGCTCCCTAATCTATACCCACAAATAGAAGCAAATCAAACAAAATTCTTGAGAAATAAAAGGTTGCAATTAAAGTGAGTGCTCCGTAATAACTTACCTTAGTCTTTATTTGAAGGTTTAATAAACTCCAATGTTATGCTTTGCTTCTTGGAAAAAACTGTCTTTATTTCATTACTTCGTATAAATTATTACTCCACTTATTATCTGACTTAGCAACAACAATTAACAATCTCTTTGTAATATTAAAAAATTCAACAATTTTGGTCAATACTTGTACAAAAGCCATCAAGATGATGTTTCTATTTGACCATAGAAAAGCAGTTAGTTAGGTGTACGTAGTACGGAGTAGTTGTGATCAAGTGTCACGACGACCAACACGACTACACGTTGTACTTTGTATTATACGGACTTACAGAATAGTCATTGAAATGACATCTTAGCACATGATTTGTCTTTATTGTTAATTCCGTATTTCGTGGAGATAATCTAGCTTACCACATGATTAATGGCGTTAAACCATTTTACAATTATAATTATAATTTTTTTTTTGGAGAAAAAGCCGAGGTTTAAACAAACATAAGGGATACGGAGTACATACAAAAAGTAAAATCATGGTGAAATTAAACTCATTCAATATATCAATGAAATGCATGAATACAAGTACATTAATTATATGAGATATTAAGCGAAGATAGCTTAATTTCAATATATATAATTAATTTGTGCGTATAAAATGAACATAGCAACACATTGCATGTTTTTTTTTTTTTTTTTTTTTTGAGGAATCACATTGTATGCAATTAAATTTGAAAATAATTAGAGTTTTGTTTTGATAAAGTATATTAAATAATAGAAAGCTATGGTTTAATCGTATACATACACTGATTGAATGACATGCCATTAAAGTAATTATTTTTCCTACAATTTAATCGTTTTGGCCATTTGCTTTTGTACAACATCAAAAAGTTCATGTTGACCAACCCGATTATTTAGTCTTTTATTTTTTTCGCATTAATGTATAATTTTACAAAATACAAATTCCCTTTTGTATTCAATTATTTAATTATTTTGTACAAATATCCGTTCTCGAAGAACAACCTTAAGTCCTTAACTCCAACAACTAACAATTACCCTCGATGTTATATTATGGTTGGTTCTCAATTTCTAACCTTTTTTTTTTTTTTTTTTTTTTGAAAGGTTCTCAATTTCTAACTGAATATTAGCATGTGGTAGGCTAAATAGCTAGATTTACTTTCGGAATATTTCATATGAAACAAAACATGTGAGAATTGTCATTAAACTGAGTAAACTAATTAAACAATAAAAATAACATTAAGAAAAGTCAATGCGCATAAGTTTAATTATCAAAGTTTATAAGGCGAAGGAATCGAAGCATGATATCTTATCACTTTCGCATTACAAAAAATGATGTCTTATCACCTTCAAACCAACTTGATAACAGCATATTCCAAGTATAATTTTTTAAGTCGGCAAAATTATTAATACGAAATACGAGTACTCCGTATTTTTTTTTTTTTTTTTTTTTTTGAAGAATCGTATTTAATAGTCACCCGTTAGAAAAGCCATGCAAATATCACACACGTCACCGTATACTCCGTAGTACGGAATAAAGTAATTGCAAAATATGGGAATATTTTGTCGCATACAAAACCAAGCTCAAAGGTTTGACTTCATGATTATGACCTTTAAGGTCATTTTGGAAAAAAATTTGATTCCTAAATTGAAATTGAAATGCTATTTAGAGCATTTATATTTCAACTTACAACTAATTCAACTCGTCAAATAGTTTTTCTAAAGTAATCTTTAAATAAATCTGAACATTTAAGAGAAATAAAATTTCAACACCATACTATGTTTGGAAATTCTAATGTAGTCATATGACATTTGAATACCACAATTTTTTTTAAATAGACGGTTGAGATTGTTTGTTTTTTAATTTATCTTTAATTAGTAATTTTAATTTATCCTATATTTCAGTTGTTACACATTTTCAGTTCACATTTTTTCAATTTATTTGAAAGACAATCTTGATTTATGCATCCGATCATCTTTTACACCAATTTAACTAAGACTTAGAAGTATATTTGTTATTCCATAGGCACAAATTCTCAAGAAGTTAACAAAAAATCATGTATTACAAACAGATAGCCAATCAAGAGGTAGAAAATTGCTGGAGCTTATTAGACATTGGCTGGCCGTGTGCCCCGTCGAGTGCTACCATCTTCTTCTGATACATAATGTTTTGCTGTAGAACTTCTCTCATTCCTGCTGCCTTCGGCGAATTTCATGCTTACTTTATGAAGGCCTTTTGCCTGCTCATCTGCATCCCATTCCTTCATGTAGTAGTCTTCTTCTGTAACACCTTTTTTTGGACCGACCAACATACCGCCCCATTGTGGGAAATATATGGATGCTAAGCTAAGGGTAGTAACAATGATTATAATACCCATGTATGTTATTCCATCTTCTATTTTGAATTGTGAACCTCTAAAGAAAATTGCTTGACATATTACTGCACCCGCGTTTCCACCTGCTCCTGATATGCCCGAAACTAACCCCAAAGATCTGAAAAAAAACGTACGTATGTACAACTTTTACAAGTTAGTATCTATAACAAGTAAAAATTATAAAAAGTTGATACTTTGAATATGTATGCTAAGACATGTAAAATAGAGAAAAAAACAGAGAAATTATTGAAGTAGTATGATTAATTACCTTCTTGAGACAAAAGGAACAACCCCGAATGTGAGTCCTTCGGAAGCTTGAACAAGAAAGCAAAAGATCAACATGACTGCAATGGTACCGCTTAAAGTGTCAAGGCGTCCCATAATAATGCACATTACACCACTTAGTGTCTGAACACCCCACCACCCCCACAATCTACCTCTCATTCCATACTTTTTCGCCATGAAGTCGGAGAACAATCCACCACATGACCTAGAGAAAATGTTAACAAGGCCAAAGAGGGCACCAACAATTCCTGCAAGGTTAAGGTTTAGATTGAATCGGTCATAAAAGTAGAAAACAATGACATTTGTTACGGCTAGCTCAACTCCGAAACAGAATCCATATCCTATAGCAGTGATGTAACTCCTATAATTGGTGACTGCATGATATATAACCTTCTTAGCATTGTCCTTATGCATTTCACCAGATTTCTGAAGGCGAAGAAAATTTCCATCAGGAAGGTCTTGGCCTAACAGCATTACAGCAAACGTCGAAAACATCTGAAAGAAAGCCGGTATGAAGAATGCAATCCTCCAGGCTGTGAATGCTGTTTCAGGTCCAGTACACTTGAGGATTAAACTGTAAAGAAGTGGCATAACAAGGTTAGCTACCCCTCCGCCAAGGTTTCCCCATCCACCCGACTGCCCATTAGCTATACCAACTACTCTAGGGGAGAACATACAGCTCATCCAATATTGTGTAGACACAAAAGTGGCTAGTGAAAATCCGGTGAAAAACCGCATCAGGAAGTAACTAACAGGTGTGCTAGCCATTGCAGAGAGGTAAACAGCAGGTACAGTGAGTAAACAGGTGACTGCAGAGGCGAGGCGAGGACCTGTCATGTCACAGGCAAAACCTAAGGCAAGACGGGCAAAAATCGCCCCGGAAACAGATGCAATTCCTGCATTACCAATGTCACTGGCTGTAAGATTAAGGTTATCACGGATTATTGGCAACAGGGGCGGAGCTGCGAAAGTGGATAAAAAACAAGTGAAATATTGAAACCAACTCAGATGAAATGCTACCATATGAGGCTTTTCAATTGAAAACAATGGGAAAATTGTGGCCTTGTTTTCTGTATCTACTGGAAGACTAAACTTTTTTGTTTCAAACTTGTAATTTTCTCCAACATTATTGGAAGCCATGTTGTACTTTTCGTACTATTTTTTGTTCTGAAATTAGATTATAATGTGTTAGATGTTGTTTTGTGTTGAACTTTATATTGTAGTTGGTACACTTTCGGGTTGAAGAGGTCATTAGTAGTACGGAGTACTATTTATGTGTTCATATTTCTTTTGTATTGGTTTTGATCATCCTATGACTTGTTCGTGAGTCTTGTTTTGTCGTTTGCTAGCGAGCTCAGCGGAGTCTCTGTCTTTTAGCATGACTCATGAAGCCAAGGTTTCTGTATGATGTTGATTTTTTGTTAGGAATATACTCCGTGCAACTTGTTCGTGCGTCTTGTTTTGTCCTCTGGTAATGAATTTTATGTACTCCGTAACATTTTGTACGAAATTTTATCATGCCATGGATATATTACATTGTAAATTCATTCATTATAATAAAACTTCATTTCTTATTGCCTACCATACGAGTCGTTTAAGTTACAAGAGTGATGATCTACATGATAAGCCTATGACTTCATTGACAGTTCATTGCTATTAACATGGCTCTTTCTTGACAGGAAGTTGAATGAAAATTCTTAGTTTCGCCGAATCACGTTGGTATATGCAGCATATTCTGTTATTAGTTCTTTTGAAGCTTTAAGAAATTATTCTTCTATTCAATCATCTTTCAACAAAGTTAATAAATTTATGTTCATTGACTTCTACAAATGTTCAAATTTATATTTTTATTGGACTATAGAAGGAAGAAAAAATTAAATGTAATGTAGTTGTAATCACGAACCTAATCTCCCGCTTGATATGCCTCATTATACTCAACCAAAATTGATTAACTAGATATTTCCAATTACATCATATTTCAACATTTTTGGAACATATTTGTAGGCCGATTTGTCGTATTAGTGTAGAAAATGGAGGATTTTTGACAAATTCAGGCATCATATTGTCAATGTCATACAAGTACAATAAATATCCAACTTCATAATCATACTGTACTAATCATGAGGAAATCTAGATGCTAATATAATTGATCTTCGCAGTCATTCAAAAACTACTCACATGCATATGTACTTAACTAGAGCTAGCTTATATCATGCTTCAAGTCTTAAGTACTAATTTCACGGCTCGTTTGATATATAAGTGATAATAAACGGTGAAAATAAGAATGAATTTGTATTGTATATGAAATTACATATATCATTTGTATCATTTTCATTCCAGTAATAATGCTAGTCCACCCAAATTTGCTAGTCCACCCAAATTATCTTCATTGTTAATTCATAAAGATATTCATGATCATCCAATAACACTCAAAGGTAACATAAGATTGGAGATGTATGAGATTATAAAACTTTCTTATACAAGTATTTTGTAAAGGGGAGGACTAAAATGTTTATAAAACGCATTTTTATAGCTTTTCTTACATTTGTAGTTGTAGATTTTATTTTATTTTCCCATCGTTATAGTTAATTTATTATTTACCCCTAAAAGGAGAAAACAAATGAAGCATGAACTCAGGTTACTCGATCTATTATTTACCCAGCTTTGCAGGACTATAGATGTTTTCGCGCGCATTCCTTCTCCCACGGCCTGAATTCTTAGCTGAGTATTCAGATAACTTCAGCTACTCAGCAACAGGCCAACGGCTACTGTTTTGAAGGCAAATCTTACACAAGTGTGATAATTGCTGGGAATAATGGATCAGGGTCCAAGATAACTTCTCGCGCTAGCGCCTTATTTGAATTGGAAGGATCAGACGTAATTGCTCTCAACTTTGCAGAGAAAAAGCGTAAACTAAACATGTCGGTAACTTTCAATTCCGAGAGATCCTACATCATGCAAGTATGCAACACTGCATGAGAATAACTAGATTTGAAATTTATGGTAGAAGAAAATGGGAAACTTTCCCTTCCTTTACATGATCAAAAATTTTACACCCCTAACAGACGTTAAAAGGAAAGCTAACATACTAGTATACTAGTATACTACTATATCTTTTTTTTTTAAAAAAGGAAATACTGTAAAGGAGATTCTGAATAGAGAGAAGGAAAGAAAAGAATTTTAGTGACATGATGACATTACATGAATGAGGGTAGCCAACAAATTCATAAGTTTGTACTATAGTGGAGGATAGAAGTATGATGATAAGGAGAATCCTAAAAAGAGGAAGCCACCGACGGTGGCAACTGTGCGTTGCGAGATCCTGGACGCCAACATGCTTCCTCCCACCACAGCTACTGAAGTGCAGACCAAATGGCCCAGTATGGCCCCCACACATACGCCCAACGCGTTTTTGTGTGTGGCCAGCTGTGGGATCAAGATAATATTTTCATTAGAGTTATCAAAGCTGCAAATCAAGACCCAGGACAAAATTTTGTACAAAAGCAATCCATACATATAAAGCAAAACCCATTATAAATTTATAATGCATGCTCCAGCTTTACTACTTTTGGTGAAAATAAGATAGATTGGCCAATTAAGCCAAAAAAAAAAAAAAAAAAAAAAAAAAAAAAAAAAAAAAAAAAAAAACCACAGGGACTCTATCCACATTTACATATTTTCCCTTGGGCTTAAAATCAAGGGCTTGATAACTCGTAAAGAAAACAGCAGGCAACAGTTATTATTAGAAGCAAAACAATGACATGCAAAATTAGCAAGGAAATGAGAAACGATGTAACATATGAATTCATCACAAGACAAATTGAAATTATGAGCTAGTAGCATGATAATATTCCCGTTCACTGAGATTATAGTTGCTGCTTAAAGCAATGCAAGTCATATTGTCATGAATTTAAAAGGCAGAGAGAAAACTTGTAGAAGTGCTTGTGGTTTATATATTCAAAGGAAGTTGAGCTTACAGCAATTGTAGCAATCTGACTACGATCCCCCCATTCAGCCAAGAAGGTGAGAATAAATGACTGCAAAATATGTAAAGCAACAATATCAGATGGATCCGCATTGCAGTAAGACATTTCTAAGAGGTTCAATGACAATTTTGAAATAACATTAACATGACCTTCCTTATAGATATAATGAGGGTTGCATATTTTGTTTTCCAGATACTAGAAGAATTAATTAACTATATAAATCAGTTCCAAGCATACCTCCAAGAATATAGGAGTTAAAAATCTTGATAAGAAACGGCGTATGGATGTTTTGCCTTGTCCTCCCTCAAGCTTCTCTTCAACCTGGAAAAAAATATATATATAAATAAAAATAAAATTAAACCAGATACTAAGTAAAAGAATTTTAATAAATACGGAGGCATCCCAAATCTGTAAGCAGAAATTACATAGCTACTCAAGCAAGAGCCAGCCTCGGGGTTTCATATATTACAAGGGCACCACAGAGGGGGATATAATGTTCCAGGCATGCAGCCATGAATTGTCCTTGCTCCCAATAAAGTCAGGCAAGATAGGAAAATTTCTCTAAACAATTAATCCATGAAGGACAGGTATCAATTATAAAAGCCTTACAAAATAAAGAAAGACAGAACACTATAAACATTAGAGCCACTCATTGCAACACACTAAGCAGTCATGTCAAGAAGTCTTATTGATCGATACATAGACAGTAAACAAAACCCGTCTCATAACCCAAAGAAAAAATAAAATGAATTTCAATTATAAGGATAATATATGTTCAATGGCATGCCACATGGTGCTCCCAGAAAAAAAAAAAAAAAAAAAAAAAAATTAAAGGCAACCAACAATAAAGAAGCATCCACATGCACCAAAATGCGAAGAAGTTAAAGTAGAAAGAGGAACAATAACATACCTCTTCCATTTCCTTCTTCTGTGATGCTTTAGGATCAGACTTCCAAGCAATGTAAAGCAGACGCAAACCAAAAAATAGATAAAGAACTGCATGGACAAAAGGAAATATACATTGTAAAGAAATAAATATAGCATAACCCAATAAAACCCACACGGCCACACCATCTACCAGAATTCCCTCAGTCCCACCAGACTCCCCTGTATTCTTGATAATCATACATCAGTACTAGTCCTCATTCAGGCCAACAAACGTAATAAGTTGATAGGAAAAATGATCAAGCAACATGAAACAGCAGTCATTAACTAGGGATTTTTAATTGTTTTGAGTGTGTGTGTGTGGGTGGGTGGGGGAATTGTTAATTGTTAGCTAATACTTGATTGTATTGGTCGATTTGACCAGCTCACAGTACTGCTTTAGGGTATTGAATAAACTGAGAAAAAGTGCATAGCTCTAGACAAACTGCAAATCAACCCCAACAAGTGCACTAATGCACTATTGAACATCTGTGTTAGTTAAATATGCATTAAAAGAAATAGCTAATGAGATACCAACAACGCAGAAAATAAGATATTTGAACATTTCTGGGTTCAGAGATAAATAATAACACATCCATTCCCACACACAATAAAATTAAATTAAATAAAATATGCATGAAATAGTAGTATAACAATCTAAAAGAAGGCTAACCGTTCCCCACACACAACAAAGAACACATCATTAACAACATATACAAGATATACCTGTAGCTGCACTGTTTGTATGCTTCCTTGATATCAAATTTGGAACTATCCTACCAAGTCCAGTAGAGAGAACCTATTGACAAAATCGCATCAATGAGCCTCACCAAAGCACAACACATTATCTTCCATAATTGCAAATGCATGTGGTTGCAGAAAATCACATGGAAGTACAAGAAGATAAAGAGAAAATTCTTGCTAAATAAAGAAAAAAAACCAAAAAAAAAAAAAAACTTACTGTCATCACAACCAAGGCACTGAGAGCTCCAGATAATACAATGGACTTTGGATGACGCATTGCCATTAAAGCTGCTATGATAAATGTCTCATCTCCGATCTATCACAAAAGCATCAGCTATTAAGCCCTATATAATTACATATGCATGAATCTAGCAGGAGTGGACACTGAAAGATAAGATGGAGAGAACTAAGAGTAAATAGTAACAATAGGTGGTGATGATACGTTATGATTTGATGTACAACCATCTGAATATTATTACAGTAGTGGCCAGAGAACAAACCTCGCTCACAAGTATCATACATAAACTTGCAAAGAAGGCATCAAAAACTCCTAAACCAGAGTCCAAATTTATGCCCAAATGTATGGAATCAGCATCTTTTCCCAGGTGCTCCAGCACAATCTGCAACAATAATCCATATTTGTAACCTTGAGATGTATTCATATTAGAGGTATTAATACATATCTACACAAACACCAAAGACTCACCCACCAACACATATTAATGATAAAGCCAACATTGTGTATTATCGTACGCATAATAGAGCAAGACATCCACACAGATATCATTGATAATATAAGAACAGAAATGGGAAAATAACTACTGTAAGATGAAGGAAATAAGACCAAAAACAAAAAAAGATTGATTTAACTATAAATACAAGCCTGATACACCATATAAGAAACCAGCAAAATGGGAAGTCTAAATTCCAGAGTCCGTGAAATAGAGAGGTGAGATCAGAGGAGGGAACCTGCCCAGATAACTAAATTCATCCACTGTCCCTCACACTATAGCACATTTCCTGATTTTGTCAGCTTAAATTGTTTAAATCTCACCATTGTCATTCATACTCAAAAAAAAAAAAAAATTAAAAAAAAAAGGCATGAATTACACATACATTAGTAACCAAGATATATCTGAATTTGCATTACATGCTGCTGCATGAAGTGGTGGCAGCCTTCTAAATTGTCACCATCCCTGGAAGGGATCAAACACAGAGATATCACTTGTAGCCTCTTGGGCCAATTGCCACTAGAAAAACTGCAAGATTCTATACTGCATGAGTTCAAAACTTCACAAATGTATAGTGGCTATCACCATTGGAGTCTTTTGGAAGAACTTCACAACAAACTCTCAGCTTGGGTAGCACCAATGCGCTTGTATCTGCCATTCTTTACATACTAACTTCCTCATGCTTGTCTTCCAAAACGACTCCAATGGTAATATTCACGATATATTCTAGCTAATCTTTGAACTCGGCAACATAAAAACAACTGCAGTTTTTTATGACAAGTGAACTAGATCCAAAAAGACAATTAGACTATGCATATATCCCAGCCATGGATAATGAAAAATCAAAAGGCAATACACCACTCCATGAAGCAACAAGCAGCAATTATTATGACTTCTTAACTTCAGTATCAAAAGATTTTAGCAACAGTTGACAAATAGTTGGAATGTTAGATAGCTCTTCGGGTGTATTTGCAATAATAGCACAAACTTTGATATGTCTTATGTCAGTAAAACCCTTCACTAAAATAATAAATAAATAAATAAATAACTCTTTATGATGCAAGATTTCAAAACCTTGCAGCTTTAAGGTAGGCCACTACCAAGTTTGATTGAAAGAGCTTCAATCATCGAACTCTCATATCATTGTCGCCCTATTGACCATAATATCTTACCCTTCAAAAGGACAAAAGTCATGCCCCACCAGTCCACCACAAATTGCTACTAAAATTTGCACTCTGAAGCAATAAAGTAATTGCATTATTTGACAATGACTGATAAAAGATGCCAGAAATTGACAAAGTTTTATATAATTCTTCCCAAGCGTGGATAATGAAAGATCAAAGATGCTCCTTATGAAAGAGCATGCATTCATAATTAACAAGTTACATTTTCAAAACTGAAACACATAGGTCTAATGTAGATGATGATTGACAATTTATATGCCTATTCAGGTATTTGTAATGAGCCAACAGCAATGTATAAATGCTTTCAGGTCTTCTATGAGTTCTATCCCTATGCTAAAAGCCTAATATGCAAGAACTATAATGATACAAAAGAGTTGAAAACCTTGTGTCCATATAACCACTGCCACAGTCTACAAACAAGACTCATCTTCTTCTATGTTGCCTCATTGAGCTTTTAGTGCACTACATAGGCTAAAGGCAAATGCACATTTGCAAACTTGTGGTATGCCTGTCACTTGCATGGGCATGGTACATAGATCAGTGAATTAAGCATCCCTTCATAATTAACTATCGGTGAATAAACCGCCCCTTCCAAAATAGCTATCACTGAATAAACCGTCCCTTCCTAAATAACTATCGTTGCATCTCAGAGACTCGGATAACTCATTCATCACAAATACTGTTCTTGGTTTGGGCCATGTAATCAAAATTCAGCAGCAATACTTAAAAAGTAGTATTAAACTGTTCATCATTATCAGACTATTAATGCATTTACAGAAAAATTAGAACCCAATTTTAAAAGGATTAATTAATTAAAATAAATCAATGCATCAAATTTCCATGTATAAACCAATCCCATCAAGATCAATGAAATGAACAAAAATTATCAGAACTTCGAGTACCAAATCACACTAAATTCGTTCAAATCACTCAAATCTAGTCAAATTAATGCATTCCTCAAACCTTACTACGCCGTCCCAAATCCTTTACTGATCCCCCAACCCTCTCATTCTGATCATCATCACCACTTTCCTGCACAATTTTAAAAAAAATTCATAAGATCTCAAACTTCCCAGAAAAATTTAAAAAAAAAAATAACATTGAATTACTTCACAGATCAAGAAATTAATTACCTGAGCTGAGATAGCAGAAGCAAGCAGCAACCCAATGACAAAAATCGACAGAACAGCAAATCGGAAAGTAAACAAACTATTTCTATGGTTTAATCGGCAACCCATTTTCCCCAAATCTACAAAAGGAAAAGGAAAATTGGGGGAAATTGAAAATGATTAGAATCAGATCTTCAAGGATCTTCGTTAAAAATGTGAAATTAAAAGGAATATCCCTAGAATCGTAACATAAAAGAGGAAAGAATCAAAGAATTAGAATTTGATATTGCGTAAATTGAGCGTAAAGGGGAGATGAAAAGAAGATCGAAGGATTAAAGAAAATGAAATTTGGGTGGAGTTACAAAACCACTTTCTCACTTTAATTTCTGGGTTGAATTAAAAAACGAGGAGAGAGAAAGAGAGAGAGATTAAGCCATGGCCGACAATTGAGTTAACTCGGCGCTTTGACACAGTTGTATACTCCGTATCACAAGATTTGCAAGCTCACCAACCCACCAAGTTGCACTACACTACAGTACGGAGTATTTTAGAAGCATCATCAGTTGACTCGGTTTATCACTGTTAAATAAATCAAATTATCAAGAGTGAGAGATATCTCGAGTGGGTAGAGCTTCTCTCTCGATTTTAGGAGATTCTGCAATTGATTCTCAACCCTGTCCTTGTGCCTCTCTATCTAAACACCAAAAAGAAAAACAAATTAAATTATTAACATGAGGTTGAGGTGATAGAGTAGTGGCATCGCTCCCACCTGTATCCTTGAGGTCTAGGGATCAAACCTATTACTCATCAAATGATAATGCTTACAAGTATTTATTATGAACAAAGTATCAAATCTCATTGCAATTTCTAAAGCATCTTAATAGAGGTATGAATTAAAGAAGAGTTGTTACAAGGACTAATACATACTATCAATAACTAAATGACTTACATTAGCAACCCAGTCTGCCGCTCTATTTGCCTCTCGATAAATATGTCGAATGCTCCATTTGTCGAATTTGCTATTAATTTTACTTTTACGTATTGGATACTAAGTGTATGGGATAGCAAAGGGTTCACAAAGAAACTAATCTTTAGCCCATTGGATCCTAATATAGCTTCACACCTTGTCTGAAATACAAAGCCATAATTTCTTTAATTTGTTTGTAAAGTTTTATAAAAAAGGAAAAATAAAAATTAATAATCCCACATTTTCTTCATCTTCAAAAAACAATTCCACCTTTTGATTATTCCAAAACAATCCCACCGTTCACCCTAATCTTCTTCTAACAATCCCTATGACCTTTAACCGGTTAAACAAGTTAATTTTTTTTAATTTTTTTTTTTCTGAGTATCTCTCCTCCCTTGCCACCAGACCACCAGTCCACCACCTAGCACCACCCCACTTGCCCCCTGTTTATAAAGCTTCATAAAAATAGTCATAAAAGGGCAGGTAAATTATACAGTGTAGGTTAAAAGCTTACTCTCTCTCTTAAGTCTCCAACTTCATCATTGGTCAAAAAATAGAAAGGGACGGAAAGGCTTTTAGATTAGGCTACCCGTACTCATCAATTAGCTACGGACTAGATCATAATTAGTGTTAATTTTGTCATTACCGATTTGATTAATTCATGCAATTATGATTTTTCTCAAAAAAAAAAAAAATCATGCAATTATGATTAGAACAAGAGTATATGGTTGTTGATTCTTGTCCACTTGTCAATTTGTCGTAGTAAAATAGGGATTGAAGCTAAGGGATATCCACTAAAGAAAATATTATTCTCTCTTCTTTTTTTTTTTTTTTTTTTGTGCTTTTTATATGTGAATTGTGTCGAACCCATATGTCTTGTGCCACGAAACATGGTCAACAGTTGCTCACTAAGTACGTATTGTGTTAGAAATTTCAAAACACAACGGCTCAAGCATGGCTGAGAATATGTGTCACCTAATCTCATGTGATGCCTAATTTCTTTCACTTATTTCATTGTTGACGTGTGGCATTCTACAAATTAGAACCTCTTTAATTTGTCTTTTTAAATTGGCCTAGACTGCAAGCATGTATAATGTCTAGTGTTGTGCTTTGCTACCTTGTGTTGTGTCATAGGCCTACTCAACTCAATATAGTGTCATCTTTAATCTGAATGGAGGTACGAATTATAATGAAATAAACTATCCAAAAACTTTTTATTGCCTTAAAACGTACAATGTTAACCGAGTGAATAGAGATTAAAAAAGAAAAACTTTACCTATGTAATATATAATAAATTGCAAAAGTGAAATAATTCTTTGCTTTTTTATTCATTCTAGTTTTTTTAAAGAAATTTTATGTGTTTGTCAATGTAGCAAATATGTGTGGTGTATAGGGTATTTAATTACACTTTCAATTTCAAACAATACTTCCCCGCTCCCCTTTTTGTTATACTTATTAAATGTTGCAAATTCACAAACCAAGACAAATGATTGAAATTGATTAAAAAATTAATCTTCTTTTTCTCTATATTTATATTCCCCTTTTATCTTATTTAACTTTGCTAATTAACAAATTATACTCTTTTAAATTTATTTATATTTAAATTCACTCGTATAATCCCATGTTTATGAAACCGCGCGTAACTGCTAATAATTATTCTTTAGTTTCTGACTTTGTGAGCTGTGCAAATTCTTTGATTGCCGTGTGAAAAGCTATATGGTTGTTCGTTTTGAAAAGAGTTCCAAAAGTAGCATTGATATATGCATGGAATATATTCGATCTCCGACTATATGTATTATCTGATTATCACGAGTTATCACCATGATATCACATTGTTACTCGATCAAGGTGCCATCACGACAATGACGTTGGTGAATATTAATTAGGTTGTTGGAATGAAACAACTTTATACGGTCTGGTCGGCCGGTAGTTGAATGATCAAAAATGATTTTGAAAACAAATATGGTCATATGAGCCATAATATCAAATTTGTTGATTTCCTTTTTTTCCCCTTTCTTTTGGAAATGTATTGGACTCATGAATATTATATATTTCCATTTCAAGATCACTACACTCTCACTAGATTAGTGATTGTTATGCAACGTGTAAAGTGTTAGTGGTAACTTTCTCATTTCGAAAGGTAATTATAACACACATCAACTTTTTTTTTTTCTTTATTGCTAAGTACAAGTACTAACATTTGTTTGTAAGTATAGAGATAATGAATGATTTATCTAGAGAAAATTCAATTTAATTAGTAAGTCACCTAATCATAATTTTTATTTAACCAAAGATTGAACTACTATATATTCTGGAATGAAACCAACATTATTAAGCCAAACAAAGCTATTTAATGCAATCAAAACAATGAGAACTTACATTTTTCCTGATAAAAAGTTCATTACCTTCTGTTAAAATGTCACTCTCAAAATCTGATAAATACAGTCAATGATTTTATTAGCCAAGTAAAATTATAAATTTATCAGTTCTAGAACTTTTAGTAACCCATAACATTTAGACACATTAATACATAATCTTATGACAAAATAAAATAAAATTAAAAAAAAAAAGAAAAAAAAAAAGAGTAGATTTTGCGAATGAGGTTCGATATCCCCGGTACCTTATATTCTCTATTTTTATTTTTAAATAAAAAATATTACAATTGTCCACGTGTTCTACTTAAGCATGATTTAGTGTAAAACGTCAACCTTAAAAAGTAATAAAAGTACTGTATTATACGCAAAGTGTCGTTAATCAAATTAAGTCACCTCTACGTTTGTTTTAAAGAGGACCTTTTGTCTCCCAAACACACGCTTTTGATCGTATCTATTCTATTTCAGCGTCAAGCTTAGTTTCTCTTGACACCAGTATTATTGTGTGGAACTAATTAACGTAGCTCAACTTTTTTTTTTTTTTTACCGACTTATCTTATTATGACGAAGATTACTATAATAAGGCTTTGTTCTCATCTCCTTATTTTTACTTAATACGGAGTATAAGATAAAATTTGTGATAATAAGTTTAGAAAAGTTAATACAATGAGCTACTAACTTCAGATAAATAAGTTTACAATTATTCGGATAGGAAAGTACTTTATCTGTTTTAAAAAAAATTGTAACACTAATTTGTTCATAGCTAGCTCGATTACAGATAAAGAGTACACTTAGTTGAAGGAAAAGAACCTATGTCTAAATCAAATAAATGAAATATTGAAGGAAATACATTGCGACTATATACGAGTGGAATTGAAGTGGTACAACTTTTATAGTAGAATGAAAGTGACTATTATCATAACTTGCCATCAAATACAATGCTTGTTTTACCTCTTGACATCGGTGATTGAAAAGGACCTAGTAGTCAAAGAAACATAAATCTATCTTACTCTCGATCATTCATCAAGTGATTGTAATGGTATATAACTTCTTGCACTTCAAACTTTTGCTTGCTTGACTTGATTTTTGACTAACAATATATGGTTTAATTTTTCATGGAAAAAAAAACTCCTTATATTCTGTGGATGTAATACAAAAATACATTTCCATTATTGAGTATGTTTTTTTTTTTTTTTTTGAGGTAGGATTCACTAGGAATTCTTTTTTGACAAATTGTAGCCATTGCATAACAGCATAAGTGCTATGTAGCTGAGTAACTTCCAACTTTAGACTCAATTTACTAATTTTATACATCATTAATCTTTAAAAATGTCATAATGGTAAAACAGTAAGTTATAGATCAAACATGGATCCGTAATGTTATGTTGTGCTACCTTTTAGATTCATTAAGCAATAAATAGCCAAATAGGAGAAAGGTTTCTCATCCATTATTCCTTCCTCATTTTAAACTTAATTTAATATCAAAAAGTACAAATCTCAAAACAATAATGACAGTAGTATCAGATAGTATATCTTACCTAAAACGCAGTTTCACAAAATAATCAAGTGTACGCCCAATTGCTACAAACACGAGTAATACAATAACAACTACTTTACACATCCAATACATGACACAAAACACAACACAACCTACATTACCATTCTACCAAAACACAAAACAAAATCCAATTATGAGATTTGTACTTTTTAATATTAAATTAAGTTATAGTTATACGAAACATAACCAACCTTAAATAGTTATACGAGCAATAATCATTCATTTACCCACCATATTAACCAACGAGTGACTTTATCATAAACCCTCACTAAAATACTTCCTTTTTTAGGAAGTGTATTCACTATTCTACAACCTTTGTGTTACACGAGTAAAAAAAACAAGTGCACAAATAATTTAAAAAAGGGGATGTCGACCGTCAACCAAACGCGTCCTTACAAAAAAAGTACACTCTACCCTATACAATTACGCAGCGCGTAGATTACACTCCTACACTCACGCGCGTCAAATAACCGTTTTTTACACAGGTAAAAAACACCAAAAATTTAATTTCTTCCCAAAAAATAAATAAAAATAATAATAAAAAAAGGAAAATAGAAAATATAGTTGTATAGGAAAAAAAGTGGTTGGTTTTTATTCTCCCTCTTTTTTTTTCCTACACTCTGTATTTTGTGGAGGAGA